TTTGACCCCGTTTTGTATTTTTGGATTCCGAGTTTTCATTCCAAGTTTTATTTTTGCCTTTTTGCCTCTTGGGGAGTCGGATTTTGCATCAGTGGTATTTTTAAGTCGTGAACTATTGTAGCACGTCCTAATAGGTAAGTTACGTTTGCGTGCATGGTCGATTCCGGGTAAAACTTCATCCTTGGTGATTTGAGCCTCTTGTGAATTCATTTCACATTTTTTTTGCATAATCTGACATAGGGGCATTCTGGACCTTTTACATCAGTTTTATTTTCTTTTTTTGATATAGTCGCTTAGAAAACATAATTTTAGGGGGGGTTTCTTTTTCGTGTTTTTTCAGAAAATGTCTTCTTGGTACCGGAAATCGATCGCAAAGTTCAGTTTTTTGTTTTTTTTTTTAGCAGCTTTTTGGACCTCCATGACCAGATTTCATGGAGGGGCATTTTGGGCATTTTACATTGGTTTTTTTTTTTTTTTTTTTTTTAATTCTCTCGTGTGTCACGTAGAAAACTCAATTTTGAGGGGGGTTTCTTCTTTGTGTTTTTTCATAAAAATTCATCTTCTAACCCGTTTTTGCTCTCTGTTGTGGGTAGATTTTGAAAAAACTCATGTAGCAGCTTTTTGGGTCCATCTTGACCTATGCTGTTCAAGGGGCATTTTAGGGACTTTACATCGTGTTTTTTTTTGGTTTCTTCCATGATGACAGGTAGAAAACGTGATTTTAAAGAGGGTTTCTTCTTTGTGTTTTTCCAGAAAAACTCGTTTAAGGGTCCGTTCATAGCCTCAGTTCTGTAAAGAAAAAAAAAAAATCAAATGTGGCTTACTGTTACAACACTATTCATGCCCAGATTTTTGACCCAGAAAGTGAGTCTATTTTTTTGAAACTTTGAGGCTTCATATCTTCATCATCCGGACTCCAAATCAAGTGATTTTTGAGTCTAAGTTTATTAACTTTTGCTTGTTTATCCAACGGTATGCACAATTGCATCCAATTCTATCTGAAAAGACCATTTTACCCCTTTGTCAAATACCCATGCCGCACTGTTTTTAAACCCAAAAGTTGATTTTTTTGAAACTTTGACATTTCATATCTTCTTCGTCCGGACTCGAATCAAGTGATTCTTGAGTCTAGATTCATTAATTTTTTTCGGTCTATCTAATGGTAAGCTTGGTTGCATTTTGTTTGGTCTGAAAGGACCATTTCAACCCATGTAAAGTACCTTTGCCGCATTGATTTCAAAAACCCAAAAGTTTGATTTTATGAAACTATAGAGTTTCATATCTTCTTCAACCGGACCCCGAATCATGTGATTCTTGAGTCTACCTTCATTAGTTTTTCATTGTCTTTCCAGCGGTGAGCTCGGTGGCACCTGAATCCATAGTTTCAGAAATGACCATTTTGCCCCTAGGGGCTTAATTGTTATTTTTCTGATCTTTTGCTTTCGCGTCAGTTTTTATTGAGTTGCACGACCTCATGGAAGGTCACTTTGACTTCTTAGAGTCTTGTTTCTTGCTTCCGTATCTGGATCCGTTATCGGGTCAATCTTCGATTCATCACAGGACACGCTAACCTAAAAATCAGGGTCGTTACATAGTGGGTCAGGCCCACAAACAAGTTCTACTTTACTACATTCCAAAAAGAGACCCGATATACATATACATCCTAGTCAACTCAACAATAATTATATAATCCATATATATATAGGTACACACTAAAGGACTCTCACTGGACTATAAGGCGACATCAACCTGAATAGTAGGCAACATGTAAAACGCACATATAATGGGCATGAGTACCATGATCTATTAGGGCACACAACTATCCACTATATCCAGCTATGCATCCCAAGCAATATACCCTCCCTAACCATTAATCCTGAAACTCAAGCTTATATCATGGCATATAACCATATATATATAAGTCCATCCTATCCAGAACATAAAAGTAAACATTCCGCCATAGTTTTTCAATAGTATGTCATCCAACTGGTTTCGTGGCCTGACACGAATAGATATGACTTAACTTAATAGTTAATCCATCCATTATATGCTCCCATATCTTGACAATGGTACATTAAATCCATAACTTAACAATTGATGTAACATATAAATTTTTACATCAAATAATCCAGAAATAGCATGATATAAATCATAGAGATATTTATTGCGTCTATTTAAGCAATGATGATAATTTAAATAGCATGCAGTTAACTTACACCCAGGGACGGAGCCAGGAAATTGTGTGAGACGAGGCGATAGTGTAAATTTTTAGTAATTTTAGTGGGGGCGATTGTGTAATTTTATAAGTATATATATCAAAATAAATAAAATAGTAGTATATATTACTAAAAATAAAATAATTCAATGGGGGCAATTGTCCCCACTGAATTATTTAAACACTTATTTCAATTGTTAAAACAATTAAATAAATCAAAGCATTCATTACACAACATAGAAGTTATTTAAATTCACCTATTGTCCAATCCCTTAGTACATAAAAGGTATATTATGCAGTTTAGGAATTTTCCAAGTCCATTTAACCCTTAAAATTTATTAAAATAGGTTAAAAAAAAATATTTGGGTGATTACAACATTGAACCCAGGTCGCAGCCTAACTTAGTCAGCTCCTTCACAGAAGGAGTAGACTCGATTCCTAACTGAGTTGGCTTATTCTCAAACTAGTCGGCTCGGTTCATAAATCCAGTCGACTTAGTTCCAACCGAGTCGACTCGATTAGCAACTGATTCGACTCGTTCCTGTTACAAGTCGTCTTCTTCTTCTCCGGCGACCTCTTTCTGCTTCGTTCTCCTCCGTTAAGGGTCCTAAGTGTCTGTACTAAGTCCCAAACGATCCAAAATATTTATTTTAATCCTTTATGCATAATTTAAACAAATTAAAACAAGTTTTTATGCATCAAATATCAAAATCAAACAATCATATACACAAAAACATAAACATTGTATTTAATCCTTTTGAGCATGCATACATGGTCGATTTTACTGTTTAATAACTCTAGAATTGTCCTAGCCATGTATAGAACACGTGATCGAAGGAAAATAGTTAGAATAATAACTTACCTTAAGGATTTCGGGTTGAAAACCTTAAACTCCTTCTTTATGCTCTTTCTCAGATTCCCGCGACCTTTGGGTTGCCTTCACTGCTCTCTGCTGATCTGGCCTAGCCACAAACAACCCTCCTTCTTCTCCTTCCTTGGTCACACACCCAATCCTCTCTTTCTTCTGACGTTCTCTCTCTCTAAAATACTTTGTATCTTACATCTCCTTCTCTTTGCCTCTTCTATATGTAAATAGGGTTTTGTAACCCTTTGGCAGACTATCATAACATACATATATGTAATTAAATCCTAATCCCTTTCCACTTCTAATTACCTTAATGACAAAGAAAAGAAAAAAAAAATAAAACATATATATGCATCTGCTATATATGTATGTACATATATAATGCTAAAACATTAATACACATATATATATACCTATATAACTAAATATCCATATATTACTATTAATACTAAAATAATAATAATAGCAATAATAATAATAATAATATCCTTATATATATATATACCCATATATATACAACTATCAATGGGTAATTATTCATACCCATCAAGACTCATATCCAAGTAGTTTATGTGACCTATTATTATTATTTTTTTTCCTGAATGTTCATGTGACCCATTGGGTTGGTCAATTACTACTATCCAAATCCATTTCCTTTAGAAATAAAATAAAATAAATTTGATTTCTAAATAAATACACATAATCATGTAGCATTTAACCAAATAATTTCATACTCATAACTAATTAAAATACACAATTTAAGCATATAATCAATTTAAACAATTAATCCAATTAAACACATAAACAATTAGCCACGTAATCAAATAATTAATTAAAAATGCAATACAATCAATAAATAAACTCCAAAACTATCATTTTAAAATTAGAAGTATTACAGACAGCATGCAAGGATAGACTCATTAAGGGCTTAGTGGAGGCAGTTACCCCCATTGAAAATTTTTTATTTACAAATTTACTTATAAATTTTGTGAAAATCTTAAAAATATCTCTATTTTTTGTGATTTTTTAAAAAACATTCTCTGCCCCATGCCTATCTGGATTAATGATGATGTGAAATCTGGTTGTACTTTCTAACCTTGATCAAAATTCATTTTTCTATACTTAGGAAAAAATAAAATAAAATAAAATAAACTAAACATCAAGCCTTGTATCAATTACTTAAATTCAACTGCATGTTTGTAATTTCACTTCTAATATAGTTTTGTATTTGCTATCAAGTTTCAATTTCTAATTGAATCCTTGTTTATTTATTTATTTTTTGTAATTTAAAACGAGCTAAGTGAAAAAAAAAACACTCATTATGTTTAAATTTTGGGCAAATATCACTTTTAAGGTTTTTTTTTTTTTTTTGGTAAATAAGTGTGTTAATTAAATGATCAAAGAATGGCTTAAAGTCACTCTTTGGTTACAAATTTACTCATGTGTGTTGCACATGACATTTGTAAAATATAAAATTTTAAAAATATCATTTTCTCTACCAATAATGTCCTTATATATAAGAAAAAAAAGAAAAAAAGGGACATTTTATTCGTTTAATATTTAATTATTTGTTTATTTAGTTATAGAGGGACAATTTAGTCTTTTTAATATTCAGACCATTGTTTGTTAAAAAATTAAATATTAAGAATCTTTCAAAACGTATAAAAAATTATAAACTCTATATCATATTATTGGAGTGTTTTTCGCTCACCAGCCATTCAAAATTGATTGTCAAAAGAAAAGACAATGAAAAACAAGAAATGAATATATCCAACCAACCCAAAATAGCTCAAAAAGAAAAAGACTACGTAAAACAATGTAGCGTACCAAACCTTCCCGAAAAAATAATAAAAAATGAAGCCCACCAACCCAAAATAGCACCATTAGCCCATTAAAAAGCCCAAGGACACACTAATACCTCAACTGGTACACTCTGCGAGAACATGAGCGCATAGATCTGATACTGTAGCCTTCCCTGGTCCCGGGAGAGAGCTTCGTTTTTATCGAAACCTATTTTTCTAGGGTTTCGACAAAAACAGCTGATTTCAACGAGAGTACCAATCTTCATTGATACAAATTTAATACACTATTTCAACGACTCTTCGCATTGGCGTCCGAGGTGGCACAGAGGTCAGGCTCCTCACCACTCTCTCCCTCTCTCTCTATTTACTTCTTTCTTTCTCTAAAATGTATGTTCGTTCGTTATTTTTCTACTCTAATATAGTTTTTGTCTCTCTCTAATTTTTTGCGATATGTTGATGTAGAATGTATAGATTTTGGGGTTATTTTTAATTTTTTTATTTGAAGTTAAAAAATGAAGTAAATATAACACCATTTCAAATGTGTTTGCATTTGATGAGAACAAATCACTGTTAAATGCTGTTTACTCAGTAGAATTTTAAGTATGGTTTCCTTAGTTTTCTCAACCCCCACACACAAAAGTTGAAAATCTTCATTTGAAACCCTTCAACTGTTTTTTATTTTACTTTTTATTTTTTTTGGGAGACCCATTAAATTCTGAGCTTTCTTTTCTACTTTTACTAGTTTATGTGAGTCATTGTTGGGATAATGATGCTTTTAATGTTCTAGTGAAGAACAACTCTACAGTATCGCTTTAAGTATCCTAGTTTCTTTAAAGCTTTTTTTCTTTGGGCTCCTTATTGATAAAGACTAAGGAAGTGCCCTCTTATTTATCTAGGAAAATTTTAAATAGGAAAATTTTAAATGTGAGGAGATTGGTCATCCAAAAGATATCTACTATCCTGAGAAGAAATTCCATTCAAATATTTAGGGGTTATTATGGTGTAGTTCTATTTGTGCTTCACAAATTATAAGCCCTCACATAATTGTTAATTTTACTAGCGCACTCACAATGTGAAATGTTAGAATTTGCATAATTGAATCTAAGGACAAGGGATATAATTTGTTGTTGATATTAGCAGAGGGTTTCAACTTTCAAGTTATTGTGAAAACAAGAAGAGTTTAAGAGGAAATAGAGGAAATGCTCAAAGTGGTATCCACAATTAGTTTGTCAAAACAAACAGAGTAGAAGGCAACTACTCAACAATGTTGAATTGAGTAGAGGTTTTTGCTTTCTTATGGTCTCAGATACTGAAGAATTTAACATTGACAACTCCAATTTTAGTTTATTTTTCTAGTTTTCTCAGCAGACAAATGATGTCTTGTACTGATTTTCTGTTAGTCACTTAGTCCCTTTTCTTCTTATTCTTATTTTATTATTTTCTAAGTTATTTAACTTCTTTTCAATTTAAGTTATATATTGTAGTGAGATATTTCATAGTCTTTACAGACCATTTTATGTAAACAGTTCTGTTTCTGGCATATACCACAGATTTATATTCTATTCTGCAAGATTTCATACATTAAAAATGGCGGCAACCATGGCTTCTGGCCTGCAAATTACTGCAGCAAGGCCCTCCATTTCCTCTACTCGCAGAATTTTTAAGGTTGGTGTGGCAAGTATTGGTGTCAGTTCTAGAGGGGCATCATGGACAAAGCTTGCTAGCACATGTCATATATCATCTGCACAATATTTTCAGCGCAGTTTCACATCATCACCTGCAAAATTTGAGAATGTTGTTACAAAGGCAATGTCTGGAGATAGTGAAAACAAGCCTTCGTCAGGGTTGCCAATCGATTTGAAAGGTTTGATCCTCGTGTTTCCCGCTTTTCTTCTTGTGAGCTAATAAGGTCATATATGGTTTCTTTCCTAGTTATAGGATGCTTGAAATGGTGGTTTATAACTTTTATTCAGCTATTATAATCTACCACTTGTCTTCATTCAGTATTTTAAATATCTTGGTAGGAAAAATGAATTTTAATAAAGCTACCATGTGATTTGATTGTAATCTGTACAAGGAGCCCTCCTACCGTGGCTTATGAATTATGTTATACATAATACATTTGTGTATGTTGGATGAATAAAGAACTCTCAGAAGCAACATTCTTCCAACATTCATTTACTTTCGTTTGAGTTATGTATACACACATACATTTTTTTCATTTAACTTTCAACTATTAGTAATATGGAGAAATTGCGTGATAACGGCTGGGGCTTTGTTATTTTTCATATTAAATGATTCTCTGACTTTGTGAATGTATATTGCAAAATCCATGCTAATGACTTCCTTCTGCCACTTTAATTCTTGAGGGCACTATACAACAGAATTCCTTCCTAAACTAAAACTAATTGTGCTGTCTCTAGGTAAAAGGGCATTCATTGCTGGTGTAGCTGATGATAATGGATATGGTTGGGCTATCGCAAAATCCCTGGCTGCTGCAGGTGCTGAAATTCTAGTTGGAACTTGGGTGCCTGTAAGTGGAATAGGCATAATATGTGGTGGCACATTACCTCCATTCAAGTGATTTCATAACAATTTCATTTTGTCCAATAATTGATTAATAAGCTATTCCAGAGATTTCGTAACAATTTCATTTTTTCCAATAATTTTGGTTAGTAAACTTCTATTGCAGGCTTTAAACATTTTTGAATCCAGCCTACGACGTGGGAAGTTTGATGAATCACGCGTGTAAGATGTTAGGTTTGTGTTTCTGTCATATTAAAATGGGCAATGCTTAATGAGTGGCTTTGTTATTGCATGTTTCAGTCTGCCTGATGGTTCTTTGATGGAGATTACCAAAGTATATCCCCTAGATGCTGTTTTTGACAACCTAGAAGATGTACCTGAAGATGTAATGAGACCTGTATAGTTTCATAATTCATAATTTTATGAAGGAAAATGTTCAACATTTCCACTGATATTATGATTTGACTTCACGCAGATAAAAACAAATAAGCGTTATGCTGGATCCTCCAAGTGGACAGTTCAGGTATTAGTAATTTCCCACTCATTTTTTTTGTTTTTACTTATCAAAAAAAAATTTCCCACTATTTTTGATGCATGTCTAATTATGGGCGGAGGAAACTTTTGGAGCCTTAAGTTAGAGGTTTGAAGGCCATATTTGGGCAGTTGTGTTTACGCTATATACAAATAAGAGTACAATACTGTCTGTATATGGGTTTCTTGCCAGCATATGGGGCCTGTGATTTGACCACCTATAGCATTTGAAGGCTTGCCCGTATCTTCATTTGTTGGTCTTATTTTAGTCTTCAAAGAACCCACTGAAATTGATATATATTAAGAAAATTATTTTTTATTTTATTTTATTTATCTAGAAGTCATGAATTATGTTGAAGAATTGGTTGTGGAGGTTCATGCTTTGGTAAACTTAGCATTCTACATAATGCTGCAATCAACCAAGCCGAGCCGAGCTAAGCGTTACCTTGTTTGGGCTTGGCTCGGCGAACTTGGTCAAGCCAGGCTTGAGCTTGGCTTGCCAACATTTTGGCGAGCTCGCTTACGTATCCAAGGAATCAAATTGAGAAGCTGTAGATCAATATACTTTCTGATTTGAAAGATGGAAGCAAATCATTGCCCTATCTCTTGTTGACCTCCGATCTCACTTGTTGATCTCCCAATTTCTTCCTCGAGAACTCAACGCTAATAATGATTCCACCAACACTAAAACGGGATTGAGAGAGAGAGAGAGAGAGAGAGAGAGATCCCATGGATTGTTGCTTGGCATTATGTTATAGACGAAACTGGTAATAGAATAAGTCTGTTTTAATTCAAATTCGCGAAAATATAAATCATTAACTTTAATTTTGGGAGTTGTCCAATTAACTAATAACTTTTCCATGCTAGCTCTATCTAACTTCACTAATATTTCTAATATGAGAGCCAGAACTACTGAAACTAGAATCTTTATGAAACATTGATCTCAATAATTTATCCATTAGAAATGATCTCTGGGTATCGGTCAACAAAACCCTTAACAAAGCCTAATGCCTTTCTCTACGGCTAAGCGGCAACAAAGGGTATAGATGCGACAAAGTGATTAACAGAGAATCACACTAATAGTAAATAATTGGGATCAATAAAACACAAAGGCTCTGATATCATACACGTACCAAGACTAGTCTTAAATAAACTAATAAGAAAGAAAACAACAAGAAATGACAAACACAAAAAATGACAAACACAAAAGACAATTAAAAATAATACAAAATAATATATTTCAAATAGTAAAGGATGAAACAACAATACAAACTTAAACAAGACTATTATACTTTTTTAAAGAGAAACTTACTTACAGAAGCAACAAGAAAGCTTGACCAAAAGCTTCCCATAGACTCCAAAGAAAATGCTATAAACTTAAAACATTCTGAAAAAAAACCTGATGTCCAAACACTAAGATTGGATCCCTTTTTATAAACAGGAGGAGTCCAGAATTCAAACCAATATTATATTACAATGGATAAGAGTTACTTTAATAAAAATACTTTATCAAAAGGAACAAAAACTTTATTAAAGCGGGGAACAAAAAAGTAGTATTTACATGCTATAAGTATAGTCTTTACATGCAGGGGGTTAAGTGTCCTAGATAATTATGGAGTCGAATGGGGTTACAGGGTAATTCCATAGCAGTTATCACCATTTGGTGGAAAAATAGATTCTTTTGACATAGATTGTTACCTGACAATATGTTATAGACGAAACTAGTAATGGTACTCCTTGTATTGCTAGACAAATGGCCTCAAAATGGTGGTTTAAGTTCAATTATGAAGATATTTCAATATCTCAAGTTGAGAGGATGGCAGATTTTTATGTTAAGGAAGAACGTTTCTCTAAAGCTCTTGAACCAGACCATGGATAAATTATCCACTTTCAAAAAAGAAATTAAAGCTAAAAGTCTTAGCAAAAATTCAAATATTTCTAAAGAAGAATTAAAAAGACAAATTGTTATTGAAATGAAATTCACCTTATTTGATTAAGATTCTGAAGATCACTTCGGGTCTGCTTGGTTTGTAATTCTGGAAATAGTTTTCTGTTCTCAGAGAACTGAAAACAGAAAACTGTACAAAAACTTTGCTTGGTTCAGTTTTCTGAAAACTATTTTCTGAAAACTCAGTTATAAAAAATGCCCATTTTCAGAGAACTATGAGAACAGTTTTATGTTTCCTGAGTTTTTTAGAACTGTTTTCATAGTTACAAACCAAACAGGCCCTTCGTATTCAAAAAAGATGAAGCCATGTCAGAAGAATCTGTTTTTTCACCAAATGGTGATGACTGTTATAGAATTACCCTATAACCTTTTTGACTTTTATGTCTATGGGCCCCATTCGACTCCATAATTATCCAGGATACCTGACCCTCTGCATGTGAAGACTATGCTTATAGCATGTGAAGACTACTTTTCTGTTCTCTGCTTTAATAAAGGTTTTGTTCCTTTTGATAAAGTTACTTTAATTAAAGCAATTCTCATCCATTGTAATTTAATGTTGGTTTGAATTCCGGACTCCTTCTGTCTATAAAAAGAGATCCAATCTTGGTGTTTGGGCATCTGTTTTTTTTTTTTTTCTTCAGAATGTTTCAAGTTTTTAGCATTTTCTTTGGAGTCTATTGGAAGCTTTAAGCTTGGTTAAGCTTTCTTGTTGCTTCTATAAGTAAGTTTCTGTTTAAAAATGTTTAATTTTGTATTGTTGTTTTGTCCTTTACTATTTGGAATCTATTATTTCTAATTGTCTTTTGTGTTTGTTCTTTCTTGTTATTTTCTTTCTTATTTGTTTATTTAAGACTAGTCTTGGGTACGTGTATGGTATCGTAGGTGTCTTGATCAGTAACTGGGTTACTTTTGGGTTTTGGAGAAGTATTTCAAATGATTTTGATATACTAAAGAATGGCTTGTTGTTCCTTGGTAGGATTATCAATTTGATCAAGGATGTCAAGAATATGGCATTTTCTTCCTTAGTTAAGACATTAGAGAGAGAGAGAGAGGCTGTCTTGAAGGGGAGTACTTGAGGCGGTATATAATTAGGGTTTCTATAACAGCCCTCACCATAGCCAGACACAATACTAACCGCTTTTGGCTCCCCCGAACCAGAGACTTCCCAAGGGGTCACCCATCCTGGTACTACTATAGAGTAAGCAAACTTAACTTTGGAGTTCTGATGGGTTCATGACCATCACGACTTTAAAACGCATTGTGTCATAAAAGGGTGTTGAACCTATATATAGCACTTCCCCTTCCCCATATGTGGGATCGTTACACTTTGTAGTCTGCCAGTGTGGTAGTTAGTCCAGTGTCTCGCACCTGCTTATAGAGGTCCTCACAATCACCCCCCGTGGGGCCCAATGTCCTCGTTGGCCACACTTCTGGCTGGGCTCCGGCTCTGATACTATTTGTAACAGTTCTCACCCTATCTAGATACAATATTGTCCGCTTTTGGCTTCCGGGACCAAAAACTTCCCAGGGCCATCTTGGTACTGTTCCAAGTTAAGCACGCTTAACTTTGGAGTTCTGATGGGTTCACGGCCATCACGGCTTTAAAACGCGTTGTGTATAGAAGGGTGTTGAACCTACATATAGTACTTTCCTTTCCCCAAGCGATGTGAGATCCAGTGCCTTGCACCCGCCCACATCACACGCGCTCACATAGGTTGTCACAGTTTCCATTACATATTTTTAATTGTTCAATCAATCCAATGGCTGATACAATGATGTATGGGATGATGGGCAACACATGTGAGTTTGGGCTTTTGAAAGGTATGTGAATTTGCTTGTGAAAAAAAGAAGAAAAGAAACGTATGTGAATTTGGGTTTATTAAATGTATGTGAGTTTGGGCTTATAAAGAGTAAAAGAGTTTGGCTCTATGAAAAGTGTTCTATATAGGAGAAGAAATGATGATAATGGAAAGAGATAGAAAATAGGAAATAATATCAATACTAGAGGATTATTCTCCACTGATTCCTCTAGTAACGGTAAAATCTTCAATAATAGGAAAGAGCATCAATACTGGAGGATTTTCCTTCACTGATTCCTCCAGTAAATCTTTAACACATCTGTTGAGTCCGATGAAGCAGGGAATAGACATGCTTTACCACTGTGTGAAAGCCAAGAATAAGGAGTGATGTTGGAGATTTATGTCCTCTTGCGAGTGCTAACAATATTATTTTCTTCATTCTCAAAGGTCCAAAGATCTGTGGTCCTTCAGAGTTCATGATAGCACATTGCTTACCGGGAGATATAAACCGAATTCATACTATGAATTGACCGGAAACAAAATCGTAAATTGGACTAATTCAATTTAGTAAATGTATTCCACGGTTCACTTATTCTTCCCCGATGTATCAAAAGTGTTCTGATAGTTTGAAGTTTGAATTTTTTTTGGTGCGTGCTAACATGTAATGATCAAGTTAAACTAGCTTTAGGATCTCTTGGGCTTGACCTTTGGCCTTTTATTCCAGATATTCGATAAGATGAATCATGCTCTCATTACTTGTTTATTTAAATTTCTCACAGGAAGTTGCAGAAACTGTTAAACTAGATTTTGGCAGCATTGACATTCTTGTGCATTCACTTGCTAATGGGCCGGAGGTATGTATATACATATTCTTTAAATGTATTATATCTACACGTCATTCAGTTCATTACTAAACACAGGCACCTTCTAATTAGGTGACTAAGCCTCTATTGGAGACATCCAGGAAAGGATATCTTGCTGCAATATCAGCCTCAAGTTATTCATATGTTTCTTTATTGAAGCATTTCATTCCAATTATGAACCCAGGCATTCCTCTCCTTCCAATACCCTGATATGTGTTTCCTTCTCATATTGGCTTCCTATTTCATTTCTCTTTTTTGCCTTTCAGATTATATACAATTTACTTTGGCGAGACATGTTATTAGAATTTGACCAGGTGTTGTTATTTCAGGTGGTTCTTCAATTTCTCTTACATACATTGCTTCTGAGAGGATCATTCCTGGGTATGTGTGATTTTCTTGTTCCCCATTTTGATTGGGTTATCAAACTTACATGCATGAGAGTGATTGTCTTCTTCAAGATCTCCTACATACATTACTTCTGAGAGTCCTTAAATTTAGACTACATGATACAGATACGGTGGAGGTATGAGTTCAGCAAAAGCAGCACTTGAGAGTGACACAAGAGTGAGTGCTCCTTTAATTGCTATTCAAGCTTTTGCATCCACCCAAATTATGTATTCTTTATTCACAATGGTGGAAATTTGTTGTCAAATTTAGGTGCTTGCTTTTGAAGCGGGAAGAAAACATAAGATCAGGGTCAACACGATATCAGCTGGTAAATTACCTTTTCATTTTCCTGTTATTAATTGAATTACCTTTTTCTAACATAAGGTGTTGTGAGAAAGTCTTTCAAATCCAATGTGTAAAATTTAATGGCAAATCCACCATTTGAATACCAGCATTTGCTAGAGATTGAGACATTAATGTCTTTGATTAAGCTAATGATAGAAGAATGGAGGATCTACCCCTTCACAATGGTGGTTCATACCAACTACACTTTTCTAGTTGGGTGTCTATCTTTAACCCGAAGAATTATTTACTTGACCACATGCTTTATATAGCTATGAGTTATGTCAAGTCATTGAACCCACACAAATTGAGAAACCATATGATCTTTCTTGATCATTCCGTGTGTATTTCGTAACATGGCAGAATAAAATGATTCTGTTGGATTAATGCATTATTTTGTTGGTTTCTCTGACTGAGGTTCTGAGTTCCTCTAAGGGCTCATGTTTCATCTTAAGGTATTTAATCATAGTTTTAGTCCAATGGGGTGGCTACTTCTGACTTAAGGGGTACATAACTAATGGTAAGACACCCTCCACAACTACCTTGCAGTAATTTACTCCACATCCATTTTCCTGCCCCATTGTATTTAAATGGGATTCCTTAGTGCCCTACTGTTAGAGGTGTCCCCATCGGATCCGGATGGGAAGTTAAATGGATATAAATAGGTGGGTATGCAACACTACTCAATAGCTTAAGCTTTTGAGTTAGAGGGCAAGCGGCCGACCCGTTACACCTACCAAGATGAGGTTGGGCCATATGAATATTATTACAAATATCTTGTATATCTGTCATTTATGTTGTAAACATGTTAGTATCTTTTTTTGTATTAGTATTACCTCAATCTTATATCTTAACTAAAAACATGAAAATTTTAGGCCCATTAAGAAGTCGTGCAGCAAAGGCAATTGGATTCATAGATACAATGATTGAATACTCAATAGCTAACGCACCTCTGCAAAAGGAACTGTCTGCAGGTAAAAATAAAGAACTTCTCAGCTTTAGCTCTATGCAGATGTTTCCTCTTCGTTTTTTCTGTTCATCTTACCCATTATTACTGAGCTTGAGAAACAAATGAAACAGATGAGGTGGGGAATGCTGCTGCGTTCTTGGCATCACCATTGGCTTCAGCTATCACCGGTGCTGTTATCTACGTCGACAATGGTCTCAACGCCATGGGTGTTGGAGTTGATAGTCCCATATTTAAAGACCTCGACATTCCGAAGTCCAAGCATTAGAAGGTAACACTAGGCAGTTTTTTAGGAGTGGGGCTTTTAAGTCTTAGCGTGTTTGTAGTGTTCTTGAGATCCTTTTTTACCCTCGTATGCTCATCGGCCAAGAATGGATTCGCCAGCGGAAATATCTTCTCATGTTGAGATTAGACAATTGTTTAATGAGGTTAGTGGTCTATATGCGTTATCTTGTGTGGTCTAGGATTGGTGCTGAATAACATCTCATTTCTGCAAATTAGAACAAGCAATTCAGAGGATTGAATCTGTCATATAGAGTTTGATAGATTGCATGAATAATGTTGGTCAGGTTGTTGAGAATTTGAATATGGTTTTGCCTCTGCACTGGATTAAACGTATTTTACTTTGGATTATTATGGAGTTATAAAATGAAACATTTTAAGCAGTAATGAAATATACAAACTGATACCACCAAGGGCCGTAGCCCAGTGGTGACGGGATACTTTAACACCCTCCAAAGTAGATTGTCGAGGATTTAAGTTCGTATACAAGTAATATGGGGTGTGTTGGATAATAGTTTCAAGACGAAAAAGGGTAGAAATCCCGAATTTTTTTTTTTAACACGCGCACACACATATATATGGGAAGTTAATGAAGTTGTGTGTAATTTTATATCCATAATCCATCATCTCACTTTGGGAATAACTAAAGGAATATTTTTGTAATTTTTTCTTCACAAATGGAAGAAAAATGGCTATTAATTGGCGTTTGGGAATTATTGTGTATGCTGTTTAAGTGAATTTATAAGGTGGGACTAATACATCTTTGTACTAGTGGGTCAAAATTGACGATTTGGGGTAATTAGCATAAATTTTCAGATGTTTGAGATTTATATGCACATATTAAATAGTAAGGGTATTTTTGTACATTTTTTATATAAATTTTTTTTGTATTTTTTGTTTTTTTCTCAAAAATAAATTTAGGTGTTTGCTTGCAAGGGAAATAAAAAATTATCTAATTTTTTTTTATAAAACATAATTTATTGTAAATTTTTGTTTTGGTACAAAACAATGGTTTTTAAAGCTGGAATATAATCTGCAAAAAAAAAAAATATGTTTGTCTACAAACACTGAATTTTTATCCGGTATCACTAGACATATTTTTGTGATGACGATTGGGTGTTGGACCTCTCAAGGTATTTCCATAATAATTTATTATTAGATACATGCAGTTCTTTCATTCTATGTGCATCATGGGTGACCTAAGGAATTTGAACTATTGACCTCTTTCTTTGCCATTAAGTAAGTTTAATTTATTGTTGAAGCCCGTCAAATTTAAAACGCCTATGTTACCGCATACCATCGGAAACCATGTACATATGATATTTGTTTGGAGAACAGCCATAGAGGCCCAACATCCCACTCGTCGGATTGAAGGCGAGGGCCTAATCAGAAAGAGACTAATCTCTTAAAACCACTGTTGAGCTGATTTGCGCTCAGTGAGAATGTTATTATTATTATTTTTTTTTGGTGGCAAACAGAGCACATTACGCATTACATAGAACTAATTTACACAAGCATCCTGACAAGAAACAAAAGATCCACAGCAATACCACTGGGCTATCCATTAATCCTGGCCAAACATTGTGCCTGAACTTACTAGGGGCGAGGAAGCATATTTGCCCACAAGTTGGAAAGGTGCATTAATATTGATTAGACTTGAAGTTCTATTTAACAGGCCCAGATTGTGGAGAAAAAATCGTCTTCGGGTTCGGCCGTGGCTCTGTCTCTGCCGAGTCAACTCGGTCTCAAAAATTCTCTTATTGCCTTCTCTCGCATCAATTGAAGAAGGTGTTGGTGAAGGATTGACACCCTCTAATTCAGCTTTGGGGTTTCTCAGAGAGAAGACGACGCAGACGATAAGTGCCAGAAAGACCCATTTGCTCATCATCACCGCCATTTTCGTTTCAAGAAATTGGAACAATCTTTAGAGAGAGACGAAAGAGTTTAGAAAGAGATCGAGAACGGTAGATAGGAGATTTAGAGAGAGAAACGAAACCGTCTAGAAAGAGAAAACAAAGCAGGAGATGGCTGAAAAATAGCTAAGAAAAAGCTCAAATCTGCCATTAATGAAGAAAAGAAGTAATCAAAAAGGTTTTGAAAGAGAGAAGGAAAAAAAAAGGAGAAAAATAAAAAGAACACTTTCTTTCTGAAAGAGAAAATGATGTTGAAGCTAAAACAGATCTGAACAGTGGTGTTGCCCGCGGTTGTGGTGGTGGCGGAGGAGGACCGGTGGTGAGGATGGTTTTGGTATATTGTATTCGTATATGGTAAGTACGTATATTGTCGGTAGTATTCGTATATGGTTAAAAAAGTAAGGTTAAAAAGTTATTGCTGACTTGGCGCTTCGTCATCGCTGACAAGGCAATGAAATGGCAAAGTAGGCTGAAGTGGCTTCGTCCCAGTAATTGGATCTGCCATGGACACCCTCCAGTGAGAGGTGCCATGGAGACGATTCGCGCCCCTTGCGGTCCATCTTGCTTCCACTAGAAGGTTCACCTAGACGTCAACCGTAAGTTATAATTATGGTATCAGACGAAAGGATGTCCATCTGAGCGGGCATCATCCTAAGGACTCCCATAAGGAATTGATCAATTTCCAGCTTTCATGGGCAAAAGAAACTCAGCTTTGATCTAATATTTTGAAAGCTGTACCACCATATCGTAAAATTTCCCCCGCAAGAGTGATAGAGTGCGCATTTTTTATGTACCCAACAAATCTGACGGGACAAACATGGAAGCCCCGAGAAAGACAAGATGGAATCCCTGGATACTTGATTTGCGATTCGCCGTCACCGGAATGGCCAACAACACTAATGAAACATCGCCAAGTACAGCGATTAACTGAAATCCCTGTACCAAAAGCTTGCTTTCCTTGCCAATAAATCCAGCTCACGGTTTCCTTTCTGGCCCGAAAACTCACATAAATGTCAAATAGGAGCAGGGACGGATCTAGGGATTCCCGAGGGGGGTTGAATATAAATACAAAAAAGTATAAATTTAAGGGTATAAAATGTAATAGTAAAAAAATTCGGTGCACTCCATTGAGCCTTTCGCATATCCGTGCCTGAATAGGAGAGTAGAGGGAAGCCAAAAACTCTAGCCATACATACAACCCGCAAGATCGAGCTTCCGATTGGATGAGAGATAGAAGTCATTATTCCAAAGCAAAGACCACTACCATGAAGAAATCTCCAACCTCGGATGCACAGAGAACCTCAATATTGTGAGGAACAGTAAACTCTCAAGGAGAGAGAAGTGTTTAAGCCTTGAGACTGTTATTATGAAAACTCTTATATTTGTAAATAAACAATCCTGACCGTATGATGAAATCCAACGATTTACTTTTAAGTCTTTTTTTTTTTTTTTTTTCAGTCAACTGCAAACTTTAAATTTTAAGAGGAGGACGAGAGGAGTAGACAGACAAGGATGACACCCAAAGAATTATTAGGGGTAATTTAATCCTCTTAAAACAATTTTACAATTTTTAATAAAAAAAACTAATATTGTGTTTGGAGTATGAATAGGCACTTTAGATTTAAAATTCGAGAAAATTTAGTCTAACTTTTTAAATTAAATTACCTTCAATTTCAAATTTAAATCACTGATTTGAAACTCCTAAACATAACACAAGTATTTTTGACCAAATTAACCTCAATTAATAACTTATTTGTAATTAAGTTTGATCACTATTTATCTTTTTATCAGTTTAAGGAATTATAGAGCAATTTTGTTTAATTTTAATAATCAAAATTTAATTTTGTGCAATATTCTAGGGATATTTATTATGTAATACCCGATCAATATATAAAGAATTTCCTATTTTTGGTGTACCGAGAAAAATGATAAATAGTAAAAGTTCAATTATCCTACTGATTTATACTCGACTGTGTTATTCTTAACTCCGTATCATTCATTACTCAAATGATAGTATCAATTGTTTCAAAGCGGAAGTATCCCGGGGTAATTTACCTTCTTCTCAGGCTTTCATTTGAATAGCCTTTAACGTCCATTTAGACTTTGAAACATGAACTTTCTAAACCTATTTTTTATAATTATAGGAATCTATCCTGTAATTTGAAAAATCACTCAAACTTTCATTAAAAATAAAATTAATACCTCCCATTTTAGTGATGACTATCAAATGCATTAATATATTTATCTAATTTATTGAAATGCCTTCAAATTATAATAATAAATGACTCTAGTACTATTTGTATGTGTGAAAGAGAGGAGATGGATAAAGGGTAATACAAAAAATTTTAATTTATTCAATATATGATATCAATAAAATTTATTATGGACTTGCGTTAACTGTAACACAAGAAATGTCAATGTAAATTTATTTCATTTTTAGGAAAGGTTTGTTTAATTTTTCAAACTGTATGAAAGGTGTCTATAATTATAACAAATCATAGAGGACGTGAGTGTAATTTACCCTTCTGCAAAATGTCCATGAAACTAATTGTGCTTCGCTGAAGATATGGTTTTCTTGCAAGAAGAGATCTTGTAGCTAGGAAGGGAGTGGTTGTGAGAGGCCAGTGGCGTCGTCGTAGTAGACTTGATTCCTGACCAATTCGGGTTATAATTCTCTCTCATTATCGAAGACTTCTCAGGTAATGTTTTGCTACAGCTCTTCCGTAATTTCTCTCTCTCTAAATACCAGCTCTGTTTTCTTCAAATTAAACCGATGATTCCCTTAATATTTACAAACTTAGATTGAATGCCTGAATCAATCACAAAAAGCATAGTGTGCTTGTGTGGATAAATGGGTTTTTCATAAATTACATGCCTATATGTTGTTTGATGAAATGCATCTACGAGTTTTTAATATGAAGTCAAGGTAGTGAGCCTTGTATATATATATTTATGCAAATATGTAGGGAACGAATTGACCCAGGATGATAAACTAGTGTACTAGTGTGGATAAATGGGTTTGATAAATTGAATGCCTATATTTTGTTTGATGAATTGCATCAGCCTTGCACACACAACACACACATAGTGTTAACAGAAAGATGTATAATTACCCAATCTCTAAAGAATAGTGGATGCAAAAAACTAATTCTTTCCTTTACAAATCTCAGGACATTGTTTTCTTCTTCCCCAAATTAGAAAGACTAGATGTCAAACTTTCTCCCCTTAGCCTCTTTTTCTATGTTGTTTTGGGCTCAGACCTTCTTGGACTTTTTGTCAACCCCTTTCTTACTTCTTCCTAAACAATATATTTATAACTCAACCCTTGAAATAGTCCCTACGTTCTGATGAGCGAGTGTGGTATTTCTTCAATGAAGCATGTGCTTTATGAAATTACTCATATAAGTTTGTATTTTGTTTAATTTCGGAAATATCTTCTCATTTTGAGATTAGACAATTGTTTAATGAGGTTAGTGGTCTATATGCATTATCTTGTGTGGTCTAGTTTATCTGGTTGGTATCTAGGATTGGTGCTGAATAACATCTCATTTCTAATTTCACAGACATCTAGTATATATATCTTGATGACTTTTCCCCTTTCATTGGTTTTTCAATTGAATGTTAATCCTTTAAAAAGGGTTTCGATTTACATTTTTTGACATCTGTGATCTTTTTACCCTCTATGTTCTGAATGCGCTACAATGTTATTAATCTCTCAGGTTCGCATTGCTTGATCATTAAAATATGTTTGTGCTTTCTAGATTTTTACTATGTCTCTAGGAATGGTATATCTTTTCACTTTCAGTAGAGCATGTGTAGGGGCTTTGAGCAATCCTGCCATTTGGTTTTTGGATTGTAATCAATTATTGTACATGTGCAAGATCAACTTATTTTTAGAGATCTTAGGTTGAGGAATTTGGTGCAAGGACGTTTCCTCAAATCAATTGGGTCCATGTGGATTAAACCTCATTTGAACTTTGTGGAGAGTGTGGGTATTTGGGTTTTATTGTGGTGATGAAGTTATTACATGTCATATGGTGGAAATTCCAGTAGGTTGGGTTGAGGAGTGAAAATCGGGTTTACATATATAGAGAGAGAATTCTGAGGTCAATAGTTCCCTTATTTCAAAAGCTAGTTTTAATTGAAAATTCATTTGTCCCATATGGTTCTGAGCTGGCCCTGTTTGGGACAAAGGCAAGGATGATGACTATGATGTTTCTGCAACCCAAGATGGAGTAGTGGTCACTGCTATTTATAGAGGAATATAAACATAGAGGGGAGTAAATGCATGTGTTCAAATGGCATGATTTAATGTGGATGATACAACTTCATAGGAGAAAGAGCTTCACATAGTGCCTTCTCTGTTAGAAAGATGTGCAGACTGTGAATGAAAAACATTATTTCAGCTTCCAAGCCACAAACCTCTGTAATTCCAAGTAGATCACGATGTATCTTTAAAATTCACTCCAGAGTTGTGCATTAAGTTCGAATAGCTTGTTAGGTCCTAACCCGACTCCAATGCGTTTGAGTGCATGTGTGTTGAGACATTTGATGGGGCCAGAGCGAGGCAGTGGAAGTCCTTTTTCAGGGAAAACTAATTGCACTATTAGAGATTGTGTAAAATCATGTGTAGATATGGCATGCTGGTGCTGGAGATTGTTCAGTGCAACCAGTCATAAAAATAGTAATCTGTGTGGCCTGAGAGTCTGCACTGACAGAGATAGCCCTTACTATTTGTGGTATTGCATTTAGAAACATTGCTCTGGCTTCTTTGTTAGAGTCTGATGTCTAGGCATCATAGACGTTGACTGATGGACTGACATAAGTGGATAACACCATGGAAATTTGACTTGTATCATAATTTAAGGAGACTACGTGTGTTATGAAAATATATATGTATGTCAGCTTTAAAATGGAGAATTATATCATTGATAGTGCCACATTGTGGTTGCAAAATGGGATTAGATATGTAAACAGACCGAACTGATTGCTGTTCGTATGCGGATAATTAACATGAAACTCTGCTGCCAATGTTATCTGCAATAAAGCATGATCTAATTTTTAGTCTTATGTGATTTATAAACCTTGCTGTTTAAGTAAGTGACTTTTTTTTTTATGTCTGTATGGGTTGCATGGCACCTTCCATGGCTCAAAGAGACCCCCAAAGTTTTTTTTTTCGATTTACTTTGATGATCATGTTTTGTGCCATTTATGTGGCTTTATTTATGCTACTTTTAGTTTTTGTTTTTGTCATGGTTATGCTAAAGGTTCACTAAAAGCAATGATTTTTATTTGGCCTGCAGGAGGTGGAGTCTCGGCGTCTTCAAAAAATTACTATGTCAGCCTGAGAAGTCTTGATCTCAGAACTTAGGCAGCTGGGTTCTTGTGAGAGATCCATATTGCATTTTAACTAGAGGTATGCCGTAATGCAAAATTGGTTGGTTAAAAATGGCTAAATATGTTGTGATTACATTCTTAAAAGACACATAAAGTTTGCAGTTCCTTTTTCCTAGAGAACACTGATACATGATTGAAATCTGTGGAATTCAAAATTGAGCATGTCCATACCATAAAACTTTCAATATTCACAAAATCAGCCTTCTGGTGAAATATTAAAAAATACATTGTTGTTTATTCTTGTGCATACGAACTTCTCTGGCATATGCGGAGCCAGGATTTTGCCTTTTATGGTGGGTTGGGGGACAGGGGAAGTCATAGTTGGGCCACTACATATATCATCTATTGGAAATCACTACTTTTAGCCAGCAGAGTGTTGATTGACAACAAATGACATAGTACACGAATAAATCAGCCTTGGTTAGTTTATTGTTGCTTAAAGAATATAATCTGATTGGCAGAATTAGAATTTTGCCTTAACTACATAGCGAAGTCTAGTAATATTAGTTAATCACTTCACTCTCAATTCAGACATCAAAAAGAAAAAAAGAAGGTGAAAAACTTCAAGTGGTCATATATGATACTTAAAGTAGCTTAGGACCTTGGGCAATCTTTTCAAAACTTCAGGAGGAGCAATCCTGCCCCCCTGCCTTTGTCATTTAGTAATTTTGGCACTGTGGCTTTGCCATCTGTCGGTATTCTGGGCTGTGGAACATATTGATTCCTATGAGGATGTTATTCTGTTTCGGTTTGTGATGGAAACCTTTAGTGATGACTGAAAAACAAGGTTGCTTGGACTGCATATTGGTCCTGGTTGAAAACTCGTGCATTGCTTGTTAATGTTGAAAGGTCCATTATAGATGGGCTTTTGTTTCATGACCATGACCATGTTATTGGTAGTACACTATCAAGATACAGTTGGAATGAGTCTATGATGATATCTTCTTCATGTTAAATTGTATGGTGGTTTGTAGAGTCAGATGAGATGAGTCTATTTTCTTCAGTAGGAAAAGGTGATACGGAAACACATTTCATTTTCAGTTTCATCACATTTGCTGCATCTTCTTTAAGGAAACTTAGGATAAGGGCACATGATTTTAAAGCAGCATGCTGTGACAGCTGTCACTGGGGTGGTACATGGAATCTGTATACTTGTGTCTCCTAGAAGAGTGATGAATGTGCTGCTGGCCCCATATCTTTTCTGTTCTCTTCCTATATTTACCATTTCAACTTTTCCATGCATTAGCATCTTGTTGACTAATTCTTCTTAGTCGTAGCAGAACATCAGAAAATTAGTGGGTAGAATCACTCTTCTGATGTTTTCCTTAGTGTTTCCTCTTGATTTCTTTATGGGAACTTTTCCTTAACAATCACAAGAGGCTAATTAAATTGTTGTGCTTAACTTTTTCTCTTTTTTTCTATCCCTTTTTGTTTTTTTCTTATGTTTTCTGAAATTTGAAAATGTGTAATGATTTAAATCAGAATTGCATTTGGTCTTCATTTCTGCTATTTATTCTACATACCTTTGTTACATGGACTCAGATACATGAATCGAGTACGGGTATGTATCCATCGTCGGACATGTTGAATCTCCAAATACAAGGACACAGCAAAAATTCATTTCATTTATTATTTTATTTTATTTTCTAGAGTAAAATAATGTTTTATGTAACATAGTGTTCAATATAACCATTTAACTATTTTAGAGTTATAATATAATAAAATTGAATGATTGAATGTGTTTTTTAAGTACATGTCCAACCAAAAGTGTCGGACACATGTCCCATACCCTAAGAAGCACGGACACGCCAAAATGGGTGAAGAATCTGTGTCCGACACGTGTCGGACACAGAAACGCGTCGGACACGCTCCGACACGTGTCGGACACACCAAAAAACGTATCTGGAATTTTTTATTATTTTTTTAAATTTTCGGACACGGCTCGGATGTGGCACGGACATTCCGCGTGTCTGGAATTTTTTTTTTTGAATGCTGATATGTTCTGTTTTTTGTTTTGTACTACTCTTTTGGTATTGTAAATGGTAAAAGTTCTAGGTCAAATGATGGATGGAAATAGATGATAGTACATTGACTTGTTTTTGTATCTTTTTTGGGGACTAGCCTTTAGGTTTTTGTGAATGTTAAGTGCTAACAGTAAAGTCCTGAATGTTAAACAGTCATGAATGTTAATATTCCTTTCTGTCTATGCTTTTGTATTTGGAATAAAGTTGCAATGATAATTAAATGATAATAGTTATTATTCTAATGTCTTATTTTATATTTGGTTTTATAACTCTCAACACTGTTCTTTTATAGTTTATTAGTTATTAGTTATGATTTGTGTTTTTTTTTTTTCATTGTGAGGTTGATGAAAATATCAATACTCAGTAATTTTTAAAGTACTACATCATATATATATATACTATTCGCCGTGTCCCCGCCGTGTCCGTGTCCGTGTCTTAATATTTTTGGATTTGCCATATCGCCGTGTCCGTGTCGTGTCGTATCTGTGTCCATGCTTCTTAGCCCATACCCATGTCCAAGCAATATGTGTCCGGCACGGGTACTTTACTACTTTTAAAGAGTCCATATAACATAGCTAAATACTACAAGCTTTATGCTAGCCAATTTTGCATAATTGCCACGGTTTCATTTGCGATAAGATTCAGTAGCTGAACTCTGCAAATAATTTCCCTTTAGTGGATATCCCTCAACTTTATCAAGAAGATGAAATTGATTATGCTGTGTTTCTCAGGGAATGAGAGTTCCTCGATGCCTTGAGGTTTGGAAACTGGGTACCGTCAACTACTTGGATGCGCTTAAACTGCAGGAAAAACTTTTCTCTGATAGGAAAACTCATAAGATTTCTGATACTCTTTTGTCCCTACAACATACACCAACGTATACCCTTGGCAAACGGCGTACAGATCACAATTTATTAGTACCTGAGTCTGAACTAAGAAATATGGGCGCTGAACTTCACTACACACAAAGAGGAGGAGACATTACATTTCATGGTCCACATCAAGCAATCTTATATCCCATAATATCTCTTCGCGATAATGGACTTGGTGCTCGGAATTATGTGGAGAAACTTGAGTTGACAATGATCGAATTGGCATCTTTATATGGTGTGAAAGCTTGTGCTGGTCGAACAGGTGAGACTGGAGTTTGGGTTGGAGATCGAAAAATTGGCGCAATTGGGGTTCGGATTTCATCTGGGATTACATCTCATGGATTGGCATTTAACATCGATCCTGATTTAAGCTATTTTAAGCATATCGTACCTTGTGGTATTGCGGATAAAGAAGTTACATCATTGAGAAAAGAGTCAGACAGGGCGCTTCCTGCTGAAGAAGTGATTCATGAGCAGCTGATTTCTTGTTTTGCAAGAATATTTGGTTTTAGTGATATTATTTGGAAAGATAATGCATAGGTATTCTATGGTAACCAAGAAACTGAGTGAGGTATTTGGGTGTGGTATTCCAGAAAATAAACTTTAGGAATTCTTCAATTTTGCATTTTTTTTTTTTTTTTAATTTATAATTTTTATATATGTATTCATCCTTGGCTTAGGGGAAAAAAGTATTCATCCCTTATTCTTCTTCTTCTTCTTCTTCTTTTTAAAATGTATTCATCTTTTCTTTTAAAATTTCAATATTTTTCTTCTGGTGTATGGATGCGTTGAATGTTTGAATAAATCGTGTTCGTGATGTATATATATATACACGCAAGCTTCTTGGAAACTTGTATATTTGGAAAATTTGACACAAATGCAGGATTTTAAAATTCACTATGCTATTTTGTTGGTGATTTACTTGTTGTGTCCTTTTGGTTTTAGGTCTAAGAGTTTTGCAGGATGTTATTATAATGCTAGCAACAGGATCACATATATTCCCATCAGTAGAGAAACTTCTATGCACATTCATTTCTGCATCCAAGTGCATAGAAAACACACTTAAAATCTTCTTCATTTTGATTCTACCTGAGGAGATGGAATCTTAATATAATAATAATATTAAAAGAATGTAAAAATTATATTAAATTAAGTAGAACTGATCTCATTAGTGATGCAAAGAAAGTATTTGAATGGAGAAAAACTATGTTTACTAAATTATTATTTGTTTATTTATATTCTCCTAAAATTGCAGATAGGATCCGCGGAATCCGGCTGCTGGGCAACACTTAAAAAAATGCTTCCAAGATGTTGAAATCCATGTTCCACACCCTCTATGAATCTTGGAAAATCAAGGGGCCACATGAAAATACCTCTTTAAAGTATAAATCTGAATCCTAAAGGGTTTCAGTCAGGGCCTGCTAAATTAGAATGTTTGCTTTGTTGAGTTAAGTTGGAAGGCTTTTTTTAGGGAAAGCAGCATGTGAAAATCTTGATTCTAACAACTTATATTTATCTATGGGTAAATTATAATGCCATCTCTTGTAGAATGCCTAAAAAACGTAACCTCTCATTCTAAAAAATAATACTGATCTCTCTTATAGTTCTGGTCAAAGTAACACTTACCTATCCTATTATTATTGTTGATGTGATGTCGAATGAAATATGAAAATCCAAATTTGCCTTTAAAATGCTTGAAATGACATTTGTGTCTATATGTTGTAATGGTAAGAGTACAACGGGTATAATTGTCATTTCACGCTTTCGGTAAATTGACAACACTGACAGGGGAGATTAGTGTAATTTTTGAAATCATAGGAAAAATCCCAATTATTTAGGATTCTACATGAAAGCTTAGTGTAGTTTACCCTTTATTTATTTATTTTTATTTTTTAACCTTGACAAAATGAATGACTTGATTGGATGAAGAAACATGTAAATTATACAAAGTGAAAGAGAAACAGGGTGTTTTTCTAGTATAAGATGTGTAATCATTGTTACAAAAAAGCAGGCTTATCCAGCTAGCTTTAGCTGTGCTTGTGACACTTACTAGAGTTAACAAACAGATTAAAAATCTATTTAGACAAAGGACCATATGAAGGTGGCTAATTAGGAGTCATGTGACAATTCACATGAGACATGTTCAATCTGTAAAGATTGCATGGAAGTGAGAACAATATTAGTTAATTGTGCATCACATGATAACCTTGCTTCCTAGTTCTAACCTATTGACAATGGAGAAGGATTTCACTACAATATCACACTGTAAAATACACTTTGTCTATATATATATATATATATATATATTACACATGCTTTGTCAGGCTTAAGCACAAGTTGCTACAGGAAACAAGCATGTATTACCATCTTTCTTAAATACAGATCTCCATATGATTCATCTCCAACTTTGCATCAATGTCCCATCTCTAGTTCCATTTTCTTTCCAAACAAACACTGCAATGAAAAACTGTCAGAGACCATTTATGGTTCTTTTTTCCTTGATTTTCATCCATTTGCTTGTGTGTTCTCTAATCTCTCTCCCCAGCAGAGGAAAAACTCTTCAAAGGAGTCAATCAAGAAGATTGCTAATCTCTGTAAATTCACTTCCTGCTAAGTCAACGAAGGAAGAGCCTGAGGGATCTTTGGATGCTAGTCTTCGGAAGCGGCCTCCGAGCTCTTCAAATCCTAAGCAGAACAAGTAGTGCTGATGGCATTTGTTAGAGATCTCAAGATGAGAGAGAACTAAAATCTCTATCTTCACATATTTTTGCAGTTCCTTTTTGTGTGTGTGTGTGTGTTGGATAGGAAGGAGGCTTCAATCAATACAATATTTTTGCTTTAACTTTTAACTCCCCCGCACTTCTTCTTCTTCTTCTTTCTTTCTTTCTTTCTTTCATTTATTTTTTTTTTATTTTTATTTTTTTATTTTTTATACTTCAAACTATGTGTGAGAAAATATTAGAGATAGAAATTAGAATTAGTTGTTTCATGAATGACTCTATCAGCAATTTTCTTTTTTATGCTTCATTTTTTTTTTTTTTTTAAATTATTTTTTTCATATCCTAGTTTTTAATTACAATTTGTTTCATGCTGAGTCATAGGCAGGTGTAAAGAGAGGTGCACATGTTTGATCTTCCAATAACAACAATGCTATCCTCTTTGATTGTGCTCCTTCAAATGACCATGTTTTTTTGGCCTCATCATCTTACTAACAGTTTTATAAATTATGGAATTTTAATGAAGAAGTTGTATTTGATTGGGATCAACTTCATATGACTAAAAAAGCATATGAAAATATTTTTCAATAATATTTGTGTTCCTAACCTTAGAAGTGAAATTATTTATTGTTTTCCAGTTAGGCGAACTTTGACCAATGCAGAGCACATTGGAGCAAAAACTTGATTGAAATTTCTACAAATTAAATATTCATTTTGGCATTAATAATTTTATAATACATTCTCGATTAGAATGGAGATTTGAAGAAGCATGTAAAAATGGCAGATGGAAATGGCAAGAGAAAAAAATGGCAGATGGAAAGAATATTTTTGAGAAACTTCCACAATTAACAATATATTTGACCAAAAAAGCATCCAATTTCCACACTTCTAGAATCATTACACCTTTGAGAGATTCTAAATTTTCTCTTCTTTTTTCCACAGATTCAAAATCATATATATACCTCCTGTCTAAAAGGTCAACAATTACACTCAAAATGTTGATTTTTATCTTCGTGATAATCTCGCTGTATGAAATTCCACAATTCCATTACTCCGTCAATCAAGACATTTGTTTGATATCATAAACAGAAGAACACTCGGGGCACTTAAACGACAATAATTTGAATTCTTCCTAAATATATATAAAAAAATAAAATAAAAATAAAAAGTCACTGTATTGATTTATTCAATGAAAATGATAGAGATTAATTATCTGCAACAAATGCTACTTCTTCCTCATAGTCTATATATGAAGATGTCCAAGTTTCTGCTATTAGCCAGACACAATAGCGCAAAGAATTTAGTGTTGCCTTCTTCTAGAGGGATATATATTTCTTTACACCATGGCCTTTTCTGTACCAAACCTTATCTTTTGTATCCTACTTTTGTTGTCACATCTCACCATTGCTCAAACTAACAAAAACATAAATTTGGGCTCATCACTCACTGCCACTGACGATAACTCTTCGTGGCCATCCCCTTCCGGTGACTTTGCCTTCGGCTTCCAACGAATTGGAACCGGGGGTTTCTTACTGGCTATCTGGTTCAACAAAGTGCCTGAGAAAACCATAATTTGGTCAGCCAATCGCAACAATTTAGCTCAAGAAGGATCCAAAATTCAACTTACAAAGGATGGCAGGTTCGTTCTCAGTGACCCTAAAGGCAATGAGACATGGTCTGCTAATTTAGGCAAGACCAGAGCTTCCAATGGAGCAATTCTTGACAGTGGGAACTTTGTGCTGTCAAGCAGCGACTCTGTGACTTTGTGGCAGAGTTTTGACGAGCCAACAGACACAATATTACCGACGCAGAGATTGAATTTAGGCAGCAGACTCATTGCTAGCTTCTCCAAAACAGACTACTCAAATGGGAGATTCGGATTCATGCTACAAACCGATGGAGATCTCATGCTTTACACCACCAATTTCCCTCTGGATTCAAACAATTCTGCATATTGGTCAACCAGAACTAGAGGCAGTGGCTTTCAAGTGGTCTTCAACCAATCTGGCTACATCTACCTCGCATCAAGGGATGGAAAAATACTTGAATTAATATCTTCAATCGCATCTTCAACCGATCAATTCTATCAGCGCGCAGTTCTTGAATTCGATGGAGTGTTCAGGCATTATGTCTACCCAAAGTCTGCAGGCTCAAATGGTGAGAGGCCCATGGAATGGTCCATTTTGTCCTTCATACCTTCAGATATATGCACAAGTATTGTGCAAGATACAGGTAGTGGGGCTTGTGGATTCAACAGTTATTGCATACTAGGAAATGATCAGAGGCCAAAATGTGAGTGCCCATCTGGTTACACTTTCATTGATACTAATGATCCTTTGAGTTCATGCCAGCCAAACTTTGCTCCACAAAGTTGCGATAAAGGATCGCAGGAAACAAATCTTTTTGGCTTCATGGACATGCCCAACACTGACTGGCCACTGTCTGATTACGAGTACTACCAACCGGTGACTGAAGGTTTTTGCAGAAATGCTTGCTTGGGTGACTGTTTTTGTGCTGTTGCCATTTTTAGAGATGATAATTGTTGGAAGAAGAAGAACCCTCTCTCAAATGGGAGGATTGATCCCAGTGTTGGTGGTAAAGCTTTGATAAAAGTTAGAAAAGACAATTCCACCACATAAATCTGCAGGTGCAAGGAAAATAAAGATATATCAGTCCACTCTGATCATCACTGAGGTGGTGCTTAAGGGTATACTATATTTATAGAACATTATAATAATCTAACAATATACCTCTCAGCAGCTATGTTTTGTGTGTGATTAATAAAATCTCAGATAAACTCTTTTAATCATGATGTGAAGAACAATATTGCCTCTATTATTAATCTCCTGTGTTTCTTTTAGATAAATTTTGATTGATGAGTTTAAAAGTTCACATGAAATGAGAACCACATTGTTAGCTTCTCAGTTCTAGTTGAAAATTCCAGTCTAACCAGTTGATGTCTCCATTGTTATATATTATTAGAGGTGGCAATTTAAGCCCAAATCCATTAAATCGCTCAAATTCATCCACTATTATTAAATTATTTGGGTACCTAAATTTAAG